TTGGGGGTGCTACGTCGAGTGATCCCGGATGGGTTTTGAAGGGCCTCGTCTGAATGATCTACACTGAGATACGACAATAGGTTGGCCAAGCAGGAAATGACATCGGCTCGCCAAGCGACTACAAGGCGAGGGTTCGTCGGAAACTGCATTCGAGTTTTGTTACATTGCTTCATGACCTCATCAACCGGGAGAGTAGCTTCGAAATATTCAAAGGTCATCCGGTCCTCCCAAATTCTTCGGAAGATGACGATCGCATTTTGAGCCGCGATATAAAGGGGTAAAACATCTAGATAAGATGAGAAATTATGAAATAAGCTCATTTAATTGCAGCTGACCATTTATTTGCATTAGCTCAAAGGATTCTGCGATATCCCTTTTCCGGAGACTCGGCCGACTGTGAAGCGCTTTGACGCTTTCGAGCATCGATAGAATGATTGTCCAGGTGGGTAGTACAGACAGAGCTTCGTCAGTGCCAGAGTTTTGTAGCTCGTTGCAAAAATCTTCGGCGGCTCGGCGGACGCATTCGAGGAGCGCCCCATCGTTTTCTGGGTCATTCGAGTCGCACTCGTGAGGTAGATTTGGTGGAAGAAATACGTGGTTGATTATGTAGGTGAGCTGCACGGTAGTCAACTCCATCCTACTGATTTCTACCTAGAGCAATGCAAAGGCGAGTGAGTCTTCGATGGCCGTCTTGAGACAAAAAACGACTTTATCTTACAACTTGATTATAGCAGTTGGAAGCTCAGAGTGTTCGCGGGGTTTATAATAAAAATTGGGGCAGAAGTGAGGAGCGAGGAGTGAGGGAGGCTGATTACAATGAATTCATCACGACCAGTCCTCGTCCGTCGCCACATCACCGTGATCATCAAAGGTTATTTCTGCTTCAAAGGGGAATCACGGTGCAGTCACAGACGGCATGGTGGCAAGCATAAAAGGCAAAATTTCCAAGCCAGGGTCAGGCGAACCCCTCCAAATTTGGCGTAGCTTCAGAATATCAAAACCTGACGCCTACGCAGGTTGTTTTAGTACTTTCTCATCCATTATATGGAAAAATCTGCTAATACTCACCAAAATGCCCTCCCATGATACGTCTTATCGCTACAGCGGCCGATGATGACCTGCCGTTGCGAAGCATTACCGTCTACTTTCCATTCTATTGGAATGGCATGCTAATTTCGTCTCAGCACGAGGCAGTTTAGGTCGGATTTGGCAAGGGCACGTTGTGCAACACGAGCTCCCGATACGCTCATCCACATCGGCCATTCACAGTGGGACGTCCCTCTGTTCACTTTCTCTCGATGGGATATGCTCGAAAATAAAATAAAACATTTTCTTTGAAGATATTTTTCT